TAAAAACACCTCGTTAAACCGTTTCTGCCCCCGTTGGGTGGCGGCAGAATGGCACGCGGATCCAGCTGAGGGACAACACACACACATGCACATTACACATAGACACACACACAACACACCACAACTTCACTCTCTCTCTGTTATCAGGAAAAAGTTCAACAGATTTAACATACTGAACTATAAAAAATATAATACACTTAAGCCTTTATAGTGCAACAGAATAACTTGATTCAGTTTACAAGAACATGGCCCTGTGTGTATGGACAGTTATTGTTATATAAAGGAGAAAAGTCTATAGAGTTTAATTCAATACCATATTGGATTCTGATTCTTTCTAGAACAATGCGATCGAGGATGGAATATGGGAATAGAAAAGAAAGAGAAAGAGAGAGAGAAGAGAGAGAGAGAGAGAGAGAGAGAGACAGACAGAGAGAGAGAGGGAGAGGAGAGAGAGAGAGAGAGAGAGAGAGAAGAGAGAGAGAAGAGAGAGAGAGAGAGGGAGAGAGAGAGAGGAGGCGGTAGATATGGGAATAAAAAAAGAAAGAGAAGGAGAGAGAGAGAGAAGGAGGGAGTGAGGGAGAGAGAGATAGAGACAGAGAGAGAGAGAGAGAGAGAGAGAGAGAGAGAGAGAGAGAGAGAGAGAGAGAGCGAGAGAGAGAGAGAGAGGAGAGAGAGAGAGAGAGAGAGAGAAGGAGGGAGTGAGAGAGAGAGAGAGAGAGAGAGAGAGAGAGCGAAGAGAGAGAGAGAGCGAGAGAGAGAGAGAAGAGAGAGGGGGGAGAAGGAGAGAAAGAGAAAGAGAAGAGAGAGAGAGGGAGAGAGAGTGAGAGAGAGAGAGAGAGAAGAAGAGAGAGAGAGAGAGAGGAGGAGAGACGAAGAGAGACGAGAGAGAGAGAGAAGGAGAAGAGAAGAGAGAGAGAGGAAGGGGAGAAGAGAGGGAAGAGAGAGAGAGAAGAGAGAAAGAGAGAGGAGGAGAGAGAGAGAGATAGGGAGAGAGAAGGAGGAAACGAGAGAGAGAGAGAGGAGGAAGAGAGAGAGAGAGAGAGAGAGAGGAGAGGGAGAGAGAAGAGAGAGAGAGAGAAGGAGAGAGAGAGAGAGAGAGGAGAGAGAGGAGAGAGAGAGCAGGAGAGAGAGAGAGAGAAGAGAGAGAGAGGAGAGAGGAGGAGAGAGAGAGCGAGAAGGAAGGGAGGAAGAGAGACGAAAGTGGAAACAACAATGCAATTTACAAAATACCGTAAAGGTGCATAACTGTGCCTCTAAAGGAACGTTCAGAATAATACCATTTTTATATGCATATTCACACATTCACACACACGACTTCACACAACGCACACACCACAACGGCGGCACGGCACTCACAAAGAAACAAAACTAGACACAGCAAACATCCAGCAAAATGTGCATGTCTCTCAGGAACGGCGTCAGAATCATCACCTTTCAGAAAGTATTCACAAACATAAATGAGATCTCGCCTCCCGGGGTAGCAAGTCCTCCACCAATGGGGCACTCCAGACAATGGTGCCGTAGAGTGTTGGCACTGAGATCGCGCAATTTGCAGGACGAATGGCGGGGGCACCTCCTCTGCCCGGGACACTTGCCCGACTGCCGGCGCCGCGACCGAAGCCTCCCACTCACCGGATTGTGTGTCACGAGTCTCTGGCGACGGTACGTGAGTGCGCAGTTCGCGAAACGTTTATTGTGCTGGATGGAAATACTGGAAAAACGTTTGACATTCTTGCGATTCGCTTTCAGATCATGATATTCGGAGTATATATATTTTTCTGTAATGGCGGAGGGGGGAGGGAGGGGGGCGTGGCTTGTATACCAGGCATTTCTAGGGAACAGCAGGAACAAGTCTTAGGTGTCCATAGTTTCCGGTGCCGAGAGTCCGACGTGAGAAAGCCCCATAATAGAACACAAGTGATCTATCGTGGGCTTTGGAGCGTCGAGGAAGTATTTCACGCCCAACAAGACGACTCAATGTTCTTACTGGTGTGTGGGCGTGAAGGGCCGACTGGGAGTCACTTTTCGCAACTCCGTTCAGCCTCTTCTGAGTGAGGAGAAGGACGGCATCCAGGAGGCCATGAACCTCGCAGTGGGTAGAGCTTGATAAGTTGGGGCTCCAGTCGGGGAATAAAATGGCACTCTTCGCGCTCCTGTGTCTGCCTGTGTGTGTCTCTCAGGAATGGTGCCAAAATCATCACCTTGCAGTAAGTTTTCACAAAAATAAAGTGATCTCGCCCTGGGGGAGAAAGTCCTTCACAAAGGGGCAGAGAGAGAGAGAGAGACAGACAGATAGAGAAAGAGAAGGAGGAGAGAGAGACAGACAGAAGATAGAGAGAAGAGAGGGAGGAGAGAGACAGACAGATAGAGAAAGAGAGAGAGACAGACAGATGGAGAGAGGGAGGGAGAGGAGAAGACAGCGATGAGAAAAGAGAGAGGAGAGAGAAGAGATAGCGAGAGACGAGCAAACAGACGGAGGCGGAGACACAAGAGGAACTGAAGAAAAAATAAGGAAAATACAAAAAACAAAAAGAGAGCGAGAGAGCCATCGACGTAGAAGCGGTGGGCGGCGGGAAGCGAGGCAGACACTCCGGCAATGACCTCTATTGCCAGTTCGCTAGAGAGTTCGATCCGCTTCGGAGGCTGGGGTGAAGGAGACCTCTGGATAAGGTCATCGCCAGGCGGGAAACCAGGGTCATCTCCTACTGCAGGGACACCAATGGCTTCCGTGGAGGTTGACGCACACGATGTTGATAAGGTCGCGTCCCAATGATGTCAAGGTGCGTCTGGGTCAAGTGCTGACCTCACGACATTAGAGTAGAGAGGAGCGAGACGGAGAGAGGTCAGGCATCTGACGCTGAGATGGGTGACATTGGAGAAAACCATTGTTAACAAGTGACGTCAATTTAGCTCGCACTGTATATTAACTACCCTGGTGGAAGTAGAGCGACCCATGACTCTTTAGAATTTTTTGCAAAGGCTCCAGTGTTGACGTGGAGAGTTGACAGAGAGAGAGAGAGAGAGAGAGAGGGAGAGGGGAGTAAAAATGAAAATGAGAGAGAGAGGGGGGAGGGAGGAGAGGAATGAGAATGAGAGAAAAAAAGATAGTATGAGAGAGGGGCGGTAAAAATGAGAAAGAAAGAGAGAGAGGGGAGGGAGGAGAGGAATGAGAATGAGAGTAAAGAAAACAGTATGAGAGATAAGGGGGGGTGTAGAAATGAGAATGAGAGAGAGAAAGGAGGAGGGAGGAGAGGAATGAGAATGAGAGTAAAGAAAACAGTATGAGAGATAAGGGGGGGTTGTAGAAATGAGAATGAGAGAGAGAGGGGGGGAGGAGAGAGAATGAGAATTGAGAGTAAAAAAAACAGTATGAGAGAGAAGGGGGGTGTAGAAATGAGAATGAGAGAGAGATAGGGGGAGGAAGAGAAAATGATAATGAGAGTAAAGAAAACAGTATGAGAGAGAAAAAAATGAGAATGAGAGATGAGAGAGAGGAGAATGACAATGAGATAGAGAGAAGTGAAAATGAGAAAGAGGGAGAAAGAAGAGAGAAAGAGAAAGATATGGTTTGTTCTGAAACTCCAAAGAATTATGAAATCTGTTAAATGAAATTAGAAAACTTTTGTAATTATGTCATGGGTAGCGTGACAAAAGCAGGACGGTTTCAAGATAATATGACATGTGTTTTAACAATGTGGAATCCACATGTTACGTCGGAGTAAAAATAAAGAGGAGAGAGGGAGAAAGTGAGAGAGAGAGGGGAGGGGGGAAAGAGAGGGAGAGGGAGAGAGAGAGAGAAATAAGAAGAGAGAGAGAGAGAGAGAGAGAAATAAAGAGAGAGAGGAGGAGGAATTGAAGAGACAGAGACAGAGAGAGAGTAATAGCAAGAGAGAGAGAGAGAGAGAGAAGCGAGAGAGGGGAGGAGAGAGAGAAGAGAGAGAGAGACAGACAGACAGTCAGACGGAGGCGGAAACGCACAGAGAAGAACGGAAGGAAAACAATGAAAAGACAAACAAAAAAATGCAGTGAAAAGATTAAAAAATGAAACAAACTCAGCCTCTATTTTTCAACCAAAAGAACATCAAAAGCAATATCTTTTTCACCAGAATTATTAAAAAACAAAACACAAAAAACAACAACAACAATTCCATTTCCTTATACCTGACCTTTCTCCTTTTCCTCTTATTCTCTCTTCTTATTTCTCCAATCCTTCGTGTCTCTCCTCTTCCCTTTCCTCCTATTCTTACATCTTATCCTATTTCCCCAATCCTTTGTCCTTTCCCTCCTTCCCTTTATCTTCTTCCCTCTCACTATACCCTTTTCTTAATCTATTCCCTCTTCTTCCTCTTCCTCCTTTTCCTCCTTTCCATCTCCTTTCCCCAACCCTTTGTCCTTTTTCCTCTTCTCTATCTTCTCTTCCGCTCTCACCCTCTTCTCCTTCTTCTTGTCCTTCCTCCTCTTCATTATTTCCTTTCCCTGAATTATCCCTTCCTTACCTTTCCTCTCTTCTTACCTTTCCAATCTTCCCCATTTCCCTCTTCCTCTTCCTCTCTTCCTCTTCCTCTCTTCCCCTTCCCCCTTTTCTTTCTTTGATCTATCCCCTTCCTATCCTTTTCTTCTCTCCCTGTTCCCTCTTTTTTTTTTCTTACTTCTCTCCACTTCCTTCCTCCTTCCTCCCCCCTTCCACAACTATCTCCTGAAGCGAAGGTTAAAAGGAAGTCAGGAAACCAAAGGGAAGTCAAGAAGTCAAAAGGAAGACAATAACTCATTAGGAAGTCAAAATGGAGTCAAAAGGAAGTCAAATTGAAGTCCAGAAGTCAAAATGAAGTCAAGAAGTCAAAAGAAAGTCAATTACTCATCAGGAAGTCAAAAGGAAGTCAAGAAGTCAAAATGAAGTCAAGAAGTCAAAAGGAAGTCAATTACTCATTAGGAAGTCAAAATGAAGTCAAGAAGTCAAATTTGAGTCAAAGGGAAGTCAAGAAGTCAAAAAGGAAGTCAAG